TTTCCTTCTGGATTGATACACTGACACAAAATCATCCCTCAAATTATTATTACTGTATTGATTACACTTATTAGTACTTAATTATCATGGTTATAAGTAGAAAGATAACAGGTAGAAGTAGAAATACCATAGGCTCAGGTTAAGACAGACATAGGGTTTTTTTTGTTTTTTGTTTTTTGTTTTGTTTTTTTACAAGTAGTTTATTGTCAAGTTGGTTTCCATATAACACCCAGTGCTCATCCCCAAAGACCTAGTTTGAGACAGGCCTAACTCTGTTGCCTTAATAGTCCACCAGGTTAACCTCTCTGTACTTCAGTTTCCTTAATTTTAAAATGGATCTAATACTATCTACTTCCCATAGTGCTTAAAGATGATATATATAAAATGCCTATCCCAAGTAAATGCAGTAAAGGGTAGTTATTATTAGTTATGTCTTATTATATTATTGTATAAATATAATTATGCTAGGCTTCCATTAGTGTAGTTATTATCTGTATGCTTTCTTTACTATAAGTATCAGAAAAAGCCAGTACATACAGGAAATTTTAATATCGCTAGTCTTTCTCAATCAGTTTTGGGAGAGAACTAAGTTCTGACACCTTAAAATATCCATTTTATATAATTAACTTAAAATTATTTTCTATGTGTTGTGATTTAGATGAGGAACCCCAGAAGAAAAAGATAGAATACAAAATAGAATATAGAACATTCCAGGGGCACCTGGGTGGCTCAGTCGGTTGAGTGTCCGACTTCGGCTCAGGTCATGATCTCACAGTTCGTGGGTTTGGGCCCACGCTGTGCTGTGTGCTGACGGCTAGTTCAGAGCCTGGAGCTGTTCCGGATTCTGTGTTTCCCTCTCTCACTGACACCCCCCCTCCCCCTGCTCACACTGCCTCTCTGTCTCAGAAATAAATAAAACATTTTTTAAAAAAAAGAACATTCCAACACACACACGTAATTCAGAGAATTTGATATAGAGATTCAAGGCCTTTAAAGAGGTACACCTGAAAGAATGTAGGACCAGGAATATGTCTTATTCACTGCTCTGTCCCTAAGTTCAGCATGAGCCTAGCACAGAGTAGGTGGTAATAAGTATTGAATTATTGGAATAAATGAGTGGTCAATGCCAGGTGGCAAGACAAGAGTAAATTTTTTTGTGAAGACTGTGCCCCTAAAGACTTAGTAAGACCATTTTTGAAAACTCAGCTCTATACTACATCTGTATATAGATATACATAGATGTATGCCTCCTGCTTATGTCCATCTGTTCAAGAGTCTCTTTTTCAGACGTTGTATCTCTTTGATCACAATCCTTGTACTTTAAGCCATATTTTTGTTAATGATGTCACACATAATTACAATAATTATAACAGCAGTAGCAGTTTACAGTGCCAGACAGTGTGCTAAATGCTCCCATGGATTGACCTTTACAACATCCTGTGATAATAGGTAAGACAGTGTGGCTTGGTGGAGGAGCCAAAATGCAAACCAGGCAATCTGACACCAGAGCCAGCCCTCCTCAGTACTCTGTTGCACTGCCTCCCCACGCTGCAAAGACATGGAAGAGACTAAATTGACCACTCCCTGCATTTACTGTTCACTATTCTTAGAGTAAACCACTGGGAGAAATAGTCAAAAACCTTTATTCCAGAACAAAATTTGTAGTGAACGTGTGTGGCTTCTAATGATGCAGCATCTCCACCTTTTATCAGTGAGGTCAGTCCTCCAATTTAGCTTTTGAAAACTACTATTTCTCCTTTGAAGACTATCTCAGTAGAAGGAACTCAGTCTTTTTATCAGATCACCCATTAATAATTCTTCTATTTCCTGTGATAATGAAATCAAGAAACTAAAAGGTACTGTGCTCTGGTGACTTCTAGGAAATAGAAAACATTATTTTCAGGGGAGAATCAGTGTGATGAATGTGAACATTTGCTTGACTCAGAACTGCTGTATTCCCCATACCCAGCACCATTGGGGGGAAATGATAGGTCCTCAGAGAGTACCTGTGGGGTGAGTTGGATGGGTATATGCATGGATAGTTGAATGGACCAGCAAGCTAAGGGTGTCATAGTGCTAAGACAGAGTACATAAATGCCAGTCTCCAGAAATGCCTATCACTGTGTGTGCTATACAATGCAGAGTATGTACACTCAGTCCTAGCCCTATTGATTTAGGTCCGTTGGAATTTTTTCTTATTCTGTTGTTTAGAAAACATCTGTTTTGAGTGTAATATTTGCATGGTCCTTTTTGTTATTTAATTGTAATATTTATCATATTTTATGAGCACTAATGGTTAAAGAATATGCATGGAATTTTGATTCTTCATTTTTGTACTTAAAATATGTTTCAAAATAGAACTACAGAAATTTGGAAAATGTTTTTAATGATCAGTTGGATGATTCCACTTCCTAATGCAAATACTAATGCCATTTTAAAATTTTCCTCTGTTTTCTAAATGTATATAAAAGTATTTTAAATACTTGGAGATCATATCTGCAAAATTATCTTTATGATGTAAATGTTTTTATGATAAGAGAGGTAGAAAGGATGTACTACAGCTTTCTCTTACTTTCCATTACACTGCTGCTTTTACATGCCTTAAAGTGTTAGAAGCCAGAGACCTGAAATTATATCAGAGAAATTAAGAATAGCTAATATGAGGTGACTGGATAGAATATTTCCTTGATATAAGAACACAGGATCCCAGTGGTAGAAAAATTAAATCTCTTACCAACTTAAGTATATTCTATAATCAGATTCAATGGCATGGTTTTGCCATTAAACTGTAAACTATCATAGTTATGACCAACAGTGTATTACTCATCTCAACATGCAAAACTTAGGATTTTGTTTTTTGCACTCAGTACCAGAAATTATTTCTTCTTTAAAAATTCATGTTTTTCTGCGGCACTTGGATGGCTCAGTCGGTTGAGCGCCCGACTTCAGCTCAGGTCATGATCTCACAGTTGTCGGTTCGAGCCCCGTGTCGGGCTCTGTGCTGACAACTCAGAGCCTGGAGCCTGTCTTTGGATTCTGTGTCTCCCTCTCTCTCTGACACTCCCCTGCTCATGCTGTCTCTCTCTCTCAAAAATAAATAAAAAACATTAAAATAAAAAACTTAAAAATAAAAATTCATGTTTTCTATTAAGTATAATTTAAGTTGTACTATGTAATAGAAAAACTTGAGTTTTTATCTTTTACTAGAAAAACAGATTTCTTCTTTATTCTTGCCTACTGAAAAGTACCAATCTAAATTTTGATTCTTAATTATGGTAATCATTTTAGCCTATGCAATTAGTATATTTGCTTCCACCTTTTTCATATAGGTTCTTATTTTTATTTTAGCAATCTTATTGCTACTTCTTTAACCTCTTCATATCTTTTCTTATAAATAGTTTATAAATTATAAATAAAATAAAACAAATCTGCATTTTGGACACACACATGGTTTTATTTTAGATGAGTGGCGGTTTTGTGTACAGAAAGAGTCTATGCTATTAGTTTTGCTAGCATCTTTTAAAAAAATTTTTTTAACATTTATTTATTTTTGAGAGACAGCACCTGAGCGGGAGAGGGACAGAAAGAAAAGGAGACACAGAATGTGAAGCAGGCTCCAGGCTCTGAGCTGTCAGCACAGAGCCCAACTCTGGGCTCAAACCCACAAACCATGAGATCATGACCTGAGCCACAGTTGGACACTTACCTGACTGAGCCACCCAAGTGACCCTGTTTTACTAGCATCTTCTAAAAGTAGTTCATAGTCTAGTTGAAGAGAAAAAAATATACTTCTCCTTTCATTGTCTATGGAATACTTTTACAAGATGCAGTAATTCATAACCCTTGTGCTGGAGGATAGGGTGGTCACAGAGCAGCTCTGAAACCCTGACGAGAATTATAGACTGTCTCCTCAGAAAAAATTCATACACGAGCACACACATACTGTTGTAAGCAGTTTTGGAGTTCACAATCCCCTAGCTCCTTTTGACTCCAGGTTTAGAAAGTAAGAAAAAGGCTAATAACATTTACTGAATATAAATTATTTTGAACCCAAGAGTTCTGGCTCTCTGAAATTATTTTCATGGCTTTATACTACCTTCCAGTCAGTTGCCAATCACTGTCTATTATTCTTTCCTCCCCAAGTTATACCAGATCTTTTAAATATGGGGGGATTTTTTAGGAGTAGTACTCCTTGGTTAAACTTTCATCTAAAGTTTCTTAAGATATTGACTACTGTGTGGCGGCCTTTACTGTAACCAATGTCACTATTAATTAAGTTGAAAATGAGATAAAAACTCAACTAGGGGTACCTGGGTGGCTCAATTGGTTAAGCGTCAACTTTGGCTCAAGTCATGATCTCACGGTTCATGGGTTCAAGCCCCACATCAGGCTCTGTGCTGACTGCCTGCTTTGGATTTGATTTCCCTGTCTTTCTGCCCCTCCCCCGCTCGTGCTGTATCTTCCTCTGTCTCTCAAAAATGAATAAGAGTTTTAAAAAATTTTTAAAAATTCAATTAAAATGTACATTCTTTGAGTTCAATATCTTTCAGAGGTGATTTTTATGTGTTTGAATTATAAATTTACTTGGACCCGGAATAATTCTTTCATGCTAATGAATGTAATGCATGCCCGAGCCTTGAGCATACTTGTAGGATTGGTAGGATGAAAAAAATAAAACATGACTTATCAATGATCTATAGAAAATACATTCTTAACTCAAGCAATCCGTTATAAACATGATACTGAATGAATTCATTTTCCATCAGAAGGGGGAACTGCTCAGGGATTAAAACTAATCACAGTCTTAAAATTCCCAGCCTCATTTATTTACCTAATGGTGAGCACAATTAGCTGTTACTGTATAAAGGCATGTCCCTGCTGGTGTCGTGTCTCAACCTCTATGCACAGGTTATGGCAGAGATATGAACTTCCAGGCACATAAAGAAGAGATGAATAATCGGAGGACATGGCATGCTGAGTGTGTTCTTTCTCTTTACTAGGCATTTGGGCCTGGACTTGGTGCCTCGAAAGGACTTTGAAGTAGTGGATTCAGACCAGATTAGTGTCTCAGATCTCTATAAAATGGTAAGAAAAATAATGCAGGGTAAGCTTGTTCCTACACACTTAATTCTTTTCTTCTTTGTTTTTTATTCCTAATTGCATTATAAAACAATATTGCTAAAGTTGTTCCTTTGTCTTTGTCCCAGTGAATATAAGGGATCTTCTTTTTGCTGACACTACATATCACCTTTGCTTTCTAAATGGAAATACTGTGTAAGGCTGTATTATAATATCCAGGAATCATTTATCAGTTGGTTTTACTAGTGAATGGAGCTCTTTCAGCCTGCATCAGTTACCAAATTCTGTCTCTCACCACCTCTTAAGAAGAGAAGGTAGAACTGTTGGTGGGAATGTAAACTGGTACAGCCCCTCTGGAAAACAGTGTCGAGGTTCCTCAGGAAACTAACAATAGAACTCCCCTATGACTCAGCAATAGTACTGCTAGGAATTTACCCAAGGGATACAGAAATGCTGATGCATAGGAGCACATGTACTCCAGTGTTCATAGCAGCACTCTCCACAATAGCTAAAACATGGAAAGAGCCTAAGTGTCCATCAACAGATGACTGGATCAAGAAGATGTGGTTTATCTATACCATGGAATACTACATGGCAATGAGAAACAATGAAATCTGGCCATGTGTAGCAACATGGATGGACCTTGAGGGTGTTATGCTGAGTGAAATAAGTCAGGCAGAGAAGGACAAATACCATATGTTTGCACGTATAGGAGGATTAGGAGGAACTTGACGGAGGAACAAGGGGGAGAAGAAGGGCGGAAATGGTGGGGGAAAGGGAGAGAGGCAAACCATGAGAGACTCTTGAATGCTGACAAAAACTGAGGACTGATGGATGTGGGGGGGAGGGGGGGTGGGCATGGAGGAGGGCACTTTGGGGATGAGCACTGAGTGTTATGTGGAAACTAATTTGACAATAAACTATTTGTAAAAAAAAAATAATAATCAAATAAAAAATAAAAAAAAGACAAAAAAAAAGTTGCTATAAACATTTAAGTATAAAAAAATAAAAAGAGCAGTTCATAAAATTCAAAAAAAAAAAAAGAAGAGAAGGTAGTTGAAGCTGTAAAGAGTTTATTGGTTAATGTAATGTATAGTAAGAGAAATAATGTAGTGTATAGTAAGAGATAGACCTGATACATCCTTAGCTGTCTATTGGCTGTTATTAAAATGTATTAGTTAATTGATGATGATGATTACATTTTACAGACTAACTGAGAAGGAACTAAAATTTAAAAAAAGTTTAAGGTAAAACAAACATCAGAACCCTCAGGTGATTCTTAAGCTTAAACTAAGGGACTGGGTAAAACCTCGCTTTGTGCAGTTATGTATTTGAGTATTTATTGAAAGTATTACAAGTTTCTCTTTAAGGAAAATGTAATATTTTAGGGAACTTTGAGGATACAAAGTATGTTGCCTGGTCAAGGACCTTTGGAAATTTGCCTAAATAATATACAAGTAACATATCAATTACTTGTGTATATTTGCTAGTGTATGAAAGCATTTGTGTGTAGTTACCCTAACTATGCTATGTTCAGTATGATAAGCATGAGATTTAGAGATTAAAGATGAACAAGGCTTATCCTGTCCCTCAAGAATATCACCATCTTGAGTATTGGTTCTTAACCCTTTCTGGGTCATGGAGATCAGCGAGAATTTCTTCCTAGGACAACACAAGTACGGTTTTGCATACAAAGTGTTACCCTCAATTTTAAGTAATTGACACTTCTGTCTGATATTTTCTCATGAAGTCCATACATGGCCCCCATGTTGAGAAACTACTCTAGTGGGATCAAAAAGACCACAAACAAGCAATTGTTATATATGTGCTACATGCCATAAAGATATTAAGATGTTGTTAGAGGGGGTGACTGATTATCTGGTACTGGCAAAAATCAGTGAAAGCTTCCAGAGACAGTAATACTTACGGTGAGCCTTGAGGGGTGGATGGGATCACCCACAAGACAAACAAGAAGGAGAGACATTCCAAAATGCAATAGAGCCTAAGTGTCCATCAACTGAGGAAGGGATCAAGAAGATGTGGTTTACCTATACAATGGAATACTACATGGCAATGAGAAAGAATGAAATCTGGCCATGTGTAGCAACATGGGTGGAACTTGAGGGTGTTATGCTGAGCGAAATAAGTCAGGCAGAGAAGGGCAGATACCATATGTTTGCACATATAAGAGGATTAGGAGGAACTTAATGGAGGGCCTGGGGGAGAAGAAGGGGATAAATAGTGGGGGAGAGGGAGGGAGACAAACCATGAGAGACTCTTGAATGCTGAGAACAAACTGAGGGCTGATGGGTGTGGGAGGGAGGGGAAGGGGGTGATGGGCATGGAGGAGGGCACTTGTGGGGATGAGCACTGGGTGTTATATGGAAACCAACTTGACAATAAACTACTAAAAAATAATAAAAAACAAAAACAAATGCAATAGAGAAGTGATAGTTCCAGATCAGATACTTGGGAACTTTGGCATGTGTTAATGTGTTAATGATTATGGGTAAGGCACAGAAGGAGGAGAGGGTCAGATCATGAAGAGTTTTGTAAGCCCCAAATTGCACTTTGTCTAGTAGTCTGATAGAGCTACAGGAGTAACATGATCGGATATGGGTTTCAAATGCTGACTCTGTCTATAGAGAATGTAAAATTCAGAAGACCAGAATCAGGAAAGAAAAAGACCACAGAAGTGATTCAGGCAATAAATAATGACTAGACAGCAATAAGAATGAAGCAGAAATGCAGAAGAGAATATAGATGTTAGTAAATAAAAATGATGAATTTTGATCAATTAGATGTGGAAAGTGAAGGGTGATTGAGAGTTTGAGGCTAAGACCTCCCCCTCAGAATGGGAGCTTAGAGTATGCTATTTTTGCTGAGGATTTTGCATTTTATCCCAAGTGTAACAGAAAGCCTGTGAAGGTATTTGAGCAGGAGAATCACATAATCTGGCTTACATTTTAAAAGGATCTCTCCAGCTGATGTGTGCAGAAGGACTGGAGTGGGGCAAGAATGGAAGCAGGGAGCAGCCATTCAAGCAAAAGATTTTAATTTTCAGTATTTGGGCTAGAGTTGGAGCAATGAAAGTGGTAAGAAATTATTGGATTTTGAATGTGTGTTGGAGATAAATCCATTCGGAGTTGGTGATAGATTGATTTGGTATATGTGTGCACAAAAAGAGGAAGGTCAGAGAAGAATGATTCCTATGTTTTGATCTTCCCAACTTTGACCCTGTAAATGTGTAATAGGAAATATTGTGGGAGAAACAGGTTTGGGAGTAGAGCAGTGAGGATCAATACATTAGTTTGGTTTTTTTTTCAAGTTTGAGATGACTTTTAGACTGCCAAACTGAGATGTTGAAAGTCTAGAGTTCAAAAGTGAAGCTCAGGTATAACAACTTTAGAATCATCAGAATATTATGTGGTATTTATTTATTTTCATTTTTTTAATGTTTTTTATTTATTTCTGAGAGAGAGAGAGTGTGAGCAGGGAAGGGTCAGAGAGAGAGGGAGACACAGAATCCGAAGCAGACTCCAGGCTCTGGGCTAGCTGTCAGCACAGAGCCTGACTCAGACCTCAAACCCACAAACCATGAGATCATGACCTGAGCTGAAGTCGAGCACTTAACCGACTGAGCCACCCAGGCGCCCCTATTATATGGTATTTAAAGATGTTGGATGAAACGACCATTCCCTTCCACAAACCTTCATACAGTAAAACCCAGTGTTCAGCAGATTTTACACAGCACTTCTGGACAGCTAAGCATCAGTAAACATTGGAGGAAACCTCCCACATAAAAGTCAGAGACCAGAACAAATACATGTGAAAAGAAATTTGAAGAAAGAGATAAGTCAGTAGAAGAAAATAGTGGTTGCTGTCTGCAAAGAGAAATCAGGGAACAGCCAAGAAACAGAGGGGAACAATCGAAGAAGCAAGTGAAAGAGCTCTAGAAAATTAAAATGAGATAACTATGGTAAACTTGATATAAATATTTGAAAACAGGATGACACCAACAAAAAATTAGCAATAGGAGAGAAATGTTAGGAAAGTTAGAGGTTTGATCCAAGAGATCCAATATCCAGATAATGGAGTTAAAAGAGAACAGCGATAAAGAAGATTACTGAAGAAATCCTATTAAAAACTTTTGCAGGGTAGTGATATCACCAAGATGGTGGAGTAGGAGATTCCATGCCCTGTCTGCCCATAAAGATTAACATTTAGACAGGCATGAATGAAAAATAGCTCTGGGAGAGCTCAGAAGAAAGCCATCATTTAAGAAGCTTCAGCAACACAGTGGAGCAAAACAAAACAAAAAACAACCTCAGAATAATCATACAAAAAGCATAGGAAAAACACTTTCATTTTGCTACATCATTCCATATGCCAGGCTGGCACTACTCAGCACCAAGAAGGAACTCTCTGGCCTAAAAGGGTTCCCCTCTCCAGGAAAAGGAGAAGAGAATAGGCGACCAGCTTTCTCAGCCCTTCAGGCACTGTATAAAGGATCCACTTCAGTTTTACCCCATCGAGAGGCTGGCAAAGCTGAGACATCCAGAGATAATTAGGAATAAGGAAAAGGGAAGGGGCTACCCATATCAGCCATGCGGCGAGAGTGACCATGGTTCCCACTGGCCTCCTCTGTATAGGATTCCAGCAGCCTTCATTTTCTTTTGAAGACTTCAACAACCCTTATAAATGCTGCAAACTCCCTCAGCTTTCATCACTGAGGACTTCGTCATGGACCCTAGGAAACTGTACATAGAACCCCAGCATCTTTCACCTTTAAAGAAACCAGTGGCCAGCAAAGCTGCCATAGAACCCCTGAAGGTTTTCTCACCAAGTTTTTCACTCTGCGGGAATTTGCATTTACAGATGCCAGCCCCCTAAGCACCTCCCCACCACTCTCTGGGGCATTAAATACGCAGCAGCTAGCCCTACCCTCTGTGGCTGTAACATGCCAGCTTAGATTCCCATGGCTAAATTCCATGGTTGTGCATATG